GCGGGTGGGGCGTGGGTGCAAGGCCTGAGGGGCTGGGGCGGGCTGCCAGCCGCGTGCCGGCACCAGCCGTGCCGCGGCCCTCCCCTGGGCTGCACACTGCACACTGCTGTGGGCGGCAGTGACCCCCGACCCGACCCAACCTGACCGTTGCCGCCGCCGTTGCCGCCGCCGCGCCCCCCTGCAGTCCTGCACGTGCACCCCTGCTCCCCGCTGGAGGCTAAGGCTGAGGTGTACCGCAGACAGGGCCTGTGGCTGGTGGACAGCGAGGAGGGTGAGCGGCCGGCCAGCCCCCTTTTCGGGAGCACGCTTTGCATTGATTTCATCTCTGCAGCCGCCAGCAAGCACGCGGCCGCCCGCGCTGGAATGGACGCCCTGTGTTGCTGTTGCCAGTTAAACGGTCGCTGCCCCGTGCAGGCTGCGCGCCGCGGGCCGGCACGGCCAGCCAGGTGGCGGCGTGCCGGCCGCTGAGGTGGCGGGTACCGGACACGGAGGACATGTTTTACACCTGTCCCGCATACGGTACCGCCCTGGTGCACGAGCGACCCGCGCTGGTACTGCCAGAGGACCTGGCGGCGGAGGCGGCGGGAGGGGCAGGCGGCGTGACGGCCGCTCGGTAGCTCTAGCTCAGCTGCTGCTGGAGTGTTTGGAAGTTATGTTTAACAGTTGGTAAACCTGGTACAGGAATCAGCGGATCAGTGCAGACAAGTCAGACAAGTAAACATTGGAGGGGGGAGCAGCGAGGTGTCGAGCAGCCCAGAGCGCTGCCGTTTTGCCGGCCCGCCGTCAGCCGCCGGCCCCGCCGCCGCGCCGCCTGGGCGGCCGCCACCGCTCGTGCGTCAGCCCCAGCCCATACTCTCCGCAGGAGTAGAGCCGCGCCTCGGCAGCCGGCTCCCGCCACCGCAGCGGCCGGCAGGCGGCCACCTGGCTGGCGGTGCCGTTGCGCGGAGCGCAGCCTGTGTGTGTGTGGGGGGGGGAAGGGCGCAGGCAGGGGACAGGTGGTTGGCCAGGAAGGCGGCAGCAGCGGCAGCAGGAATTCCATGAGCAGCAGGAATTCCGCTTCGAAGCGCCGGCGCTAGCGCCGGCGCCAGAGGCCATATCACGAGCGGCAGCAGGCCACGCAATTGTGCACACTCTGCGGCGGCGCTGGCGGGTAACACAAGAAAAACTCGTCTTATATTCGTCTCAATAGCTCAACACAGGCGCGCTCACTTGCGTCGTCCAGGAACCAGGCCTGGAGGTAGCGCAGGACCGCCAGCTTGGCGTCGTGGTTGAGGCAGATGGGGTGCAGGTACATGACTGCGGGGGGGGGGGGGGCAAGGAGGAAAACCCGGGAGGAAAACCCCTCAAAAAAACCCGGGAGGGGAGGGAGGAAGGGGCAAGGGGTCCGCAGGGGGGGCCCCAACAACAGCAACGGGGGACTGGGGGAGGGGAGGAGCCCCAACCCCCCCCTCGGCACCCCCTCGGCGCCCCCCCCTAATACAAAAAAATCATCTGTGTGAACAGCTTCCCCCCCCCCGTCCCACGGGTCCAAACCCGGCAACCGGTGCATGGCCCCCAAAGCCCCCAAATCCTCCCCTTAACCCAAATAACGGGGCAGGTAAATACCCAAAAAGGCGGGGGGGGCGGCGGCGGTGGCGTTTCCCCCGGGGGAAACCGCGGCGGTGGCATTGGCAATCTGCTGAAGGGGGGGGGGCGGGGTGAATCCAAAACCCCATGAAGGGCGAGGTGGTGTTTGCCGGTTTGGGGAAGAAATGCTCCC